GCTACAGATACTATCATGACTTTGCCAGAACGTGAAGCTCCAAAGACAAGTACAAAGAGATCAAGAGCACTTTGATCACCAACAGGATTTACACCTTGGGGTATTTATAGGTAGGCCTACACGACTTTTACCTCATGACAAAATGCTGCTTGTTCCCATAAGTTGTTTCCTCTGCTGGGTAGATTATGCTCTGGAAGGTTCTACATTTTCACTGAGCAAATGTGATTTTAGCCGCTTGTTTCACACTGAGAGGTCATGGCACTGCACACATCGATTTACTGAGGTTTTTGTTTCTGGTCAGCCAGATTTGCCCTCTGATGCAAGAGCAGTTTCTTTGACCTCTTTTGAAGAGTAAAGTTTTCTATTGCAGCTGAATAAGGGTCTTACTTTTCTCCAAAGTGCCCTCTGTGTCTGAATAACTAAGCGATTTTCTTTAGTCCGTGAATGTAATGTTTTTCTGCAATGTTGTATCATTCTGGGCCCAGCTCATTAGTTTTCTTTTCAGAATGGTTAAAAATTATCATGGGTAGTGATTTACAGATCATTGAAGTCCAGCTTAAACCAAAGCTGCATCAACTATGGAGAATTGCATTGTGACTCGGTAAACTCCAGCTTTGAGTTTTTCTAAAGAAAGTGTGAGTCTTTTACCTGAAGAGTGTAGTTCATGCCTTGGTAATAAATAAGCTTAACAGTCTTTGGACTGTTTTGTTATTGCCACTTTGTGAGCAAATCGCATGCTTTGTGCCGACTGTAAAGCCGACGTTAATCAGACCTGTCAACAGTCATTGTTCTGATCAACAGGAGCTTGCATCAGGATCTGATGCACAATGGGTGCTGTGGAATGGCACTCCCAAATGTTTGCCTACAGGCATTTTCCCTCTCCCCAGCTCCCCACTCGACCAAAGGCCTGTTCACAGGCTAGAGGTGAACCAGTTGGCTATTTTACAATCGTGGCCGAGGATTTGAACTCAGGACTACCAAGAAAAAATCCAGCTGGTGGTCAGGGCGGTTGGTAAACCATTTGCAAACCTCCTGGGTAGGACCCTGGGGAGTTTGCCTAGAATCACAAACACCCCCTACTCTTATGAATTCTTACTGCTGACCAACATGTTGGTAGACTATTTGTAAATCCCCTGGGTGAGTATGCCTACAATCACAAACACCTTCTAATGTTATGCACACCGTTCAATTTGACCTGTCGCCATCCCTCCCTAACACTCTCCCCCCCCTCCCCTTCTGCAAGCAACTCCTGGGTCAAGTCCAGCCTTTGGGGCAAGAGAGTGGGGAATTGTTTGGAGCAGTCCTGTCCTGGGGGCAGGGGGTGGGACAATCAACTTCTCTTAGATTTTGTGAAGTATGTGTCATTTTGTGTGCAGTTTGCACAATGGCTGCAGACCTCAAGACTACATATTTTCAGGGGCAAAATTGAACCATGCATTATGAATAATTACTGCTGACCAACCTGTTGGTAAACCATTTGCAAATCCCCTTGGCAGGACCCTTGGGATTTTGCCTAAAAACACAAATGCACTCTAATTCCAAGGCTCTGGGCAAGGTTTTGCAACAAATCCCTTAGCATGCCTGTTGGTTGTCCAGGGGTGTACCCCGTGGGATGGTCATTGATACCCACATAACTTGGACCAGACAAATCATTGTTTGTAGATCAATGTTTTTTTAATCTGGATTGAAATTTTATACAAGAATTTAGTTTAAACAACTGACTTGATGGTAAAATCAATTTTCTATTGTAAACAGCTTCAGAAGTTGACTTTTTCCATATTGTACCATTGATCAGGGTCAGTCAAGGGATTGCAAATTATGTGTTGTTTATAACGCTGATTTGAAAGAGGTTGTTGTCAATAGAAAGAATAAGAGACGGTATGACTTTGTTGAAGGTGTTAAGCTGTAGTCAGTTGGCACTTATCTTTGCTTTATTTCAGTGAAGTGTAAAAGGCATACAGAAAAAAGGTTAAAATACTTCACTGTATGGTTGAGTTATCATGAATTTGAAAGTTGTAGTTTGATCATCAGATTTCTGTTCACTCGTAAACCAAAAGTCTGTTTGAGAGAACACTCGTACTCATGTTCAACATTTTAGATATTTCTTGCTGACATCTGTAATACTTATTTATACCTTATCCTTCTTATATCAGCTATCAGCTTGTCTACATTGCACAACAGTGAGGATAAGCAGTGACTTAAAATGCCAAAATATTCCAATGCAGTTAATTTTAATTTGGTCCATAACAAGTACGTATGTACACAAATAAACTTTTCAGGACTATGCATAACTAAATTTCTTTATTGATAATATTACATGTACATACACTGACCATAAGACTACTAAAGCCTTGGGAAAGCATAATGATAACAAATGTAAACATTGGTTTTAGTTATTTTCCTTTTCATGTAATTATGGCCGTAACAAATTCCTGGGAGATCATGGAAAGCATTTCTCTGAGTATATGTTAGCAAATAAATTTCTATCATTTTGCTCTTGGTATATAATTATAATAATACATGTACGTCACGGTGGCCATGTTTGTTGACAAGAACATAAGTGTTGTCTTCTTCTCTTTTCCTCTTTTTTCTGGAAAGAATTTGTATTGTTTTGTCAATTAACATGACCGCAATGTCCGGTGGTTTCAGACCAAGAATACTTGACCATCTTACCATCACTTTAAACCAACCCCGTGGTTGTCAAGTTAATATAATATTAAAATAATATAATAAGCACTTCTGAAAAACATCTCCACAATCTAAATATCGCATCACATAAATTTGCTAGGGATGCACTAATAATGTAATATTTTAAACAGTGCAGGGCCAACACTAAGGGCCAAGAGCCAGGGATTTCCTCCTGTTACTATAAGCATATCTCTCAGCTACTTTCATGGCAAACAGGAAAATAACCAAAAGAAATCCCTAACTGTTTAATATTATGGAACATAATTGCCTACTGACTGCATATTATACCCGGAAACAGCAACCCTGTTTACATACCGTACTTGACCTAATAAATGCCTGGGGTGTCTATTTAATTTTAGGGGTCCAAGTGGGGTGTTTAATAGATAGGAGGTGTTTATTCTCGTAACTGTAACAAAACTAATGTGCTTTTGGCAAAAATATCAAAAGAGTTTAAAAAATAGCAGAATATCCAGTCTATCAACTGATACGTCTAGGCCTTCTAGAAGTCGTTATCGCTCTTTCAAATCCCAACAATTTGATGTCAGAATCCTTGCTCAGGGTTATTGTGTTGCCATTGTTAGTCTATCCTTACTTATAAACTTGACACTGACCAAGATCAATATAATATATTATTACATTTTAAGAAAAATCTGGGAAAAACTGTTTGATATTCAATATTTGTAAACTTCCTTAATATATATTGTTACTTTAATTTCCTTTTGATAATAATTGTATCCATCGCTGTATTTTTTGTGTTGTGTTTGGAAAATTGTAATTGAGGAGGCCTAATTAACATCAGCTATGTAGTTTCCTTTAGGTCTCCCTGCCATTGCTTTCTACTTTTTTGCATCTTTTTTGTAATTGTAATCATATACTTTATCTGTGTGGCAAAGAAAACTCAAAAATACAAATCAAGCAAGAAACTGAATGAATTGAATCATTTTGCTCCTTCTTTGTAATTTCCAGCATTTTGGAGTAATTCTCAAAAGGGGTCATCTATTAGACAGGGGGTGTTTATTAGAGGGGTGTCTAATACAATGTTAAAAACGTATAGGGGGTGTTATTAGGTCATTTACGTGAACCACGTGTTTATAAATATCTTGTCAAAAAGAAAGCTCTCTGCATTATCAAAACATTCTTTTTTAAATTTACATTAATTACATAAATAATTTCCAGTTAAATACACTTACTGTTTAGCGAATATATTTTTAAACTTCTTGTTTTTACACTTTTACTTTAACTTTGGCATGTTTATGCATGCATGGACGTGTGCAAATATCTTAATCAGCCAATGGTGCAAGCAGCATTCATTTTTACTGAAAATACAATTGTTTTGTGATGTGCTTAAAATTTGTAACCCTACTGTAGAAACAAACAAGTTCACTTCCTAATGTATCAAGTTGTTACAAATAAAAAATGTAATCCATTTGGTGGATTACACTAAGTCAGCTGCATGCAAAAACTAGGGTAATTCAGAAAGCATGCACTTTTGAAACATATTCCAAAATGTTTCAAACGTTATAGGATAACAGAGTTTTTCAATAAATCATGTTATTTTTTGTCACTTTTTCATTTTAATGGTTTTGGCAGGAAATATGTCACAAGACTGCCAGAACAAAAAGACATGGAGAAAAAGTAAAAATAATAATAGGCAATTTTGAAAGAGCATGCAGAGATAATGTGTAAAGAGCAAGTGTAAAAACATATTTCAAAAGGAGAAATTGATTTAGAAGATTTAGAAAATACTGTAGTAACAAAAATGGATGGACTAAACTCAGAGCTCAGTATTACCCAGCTATTGAGAGAATGTTGAGACCATTATTTCGATCTGTACACTGTACTTAATAATGCAAGCAAAGTATTAAAGGGTTTATAAAAAAGTTTTAAAACAATTGTCAGTGTTCAAAGAAAGTAGTTTCTGGTAGCCGGGGGCTAGTGAATTCTGTTCTTAACTTGCCCAGCAGAGTTCTTTGGCGAATTCAAATTACAGAAGAACTGTCAGTAATCAATCCTGGTCATCATAAATGTATTTTCAGGCTACTTGAAATGAATTTTGGGCCAGTACAAGTCATGCTTAAGCTACAGCTTCTTTTGAATGGCAAATTGTAAAACTGACTTTCTTTGCACCCTGAATTGTGTGCTGTCCGTTTTCTTCTAATTTATTAATTGCCAATGGATTGTATCGAGAAATTTGTTACAAATTCTCTAAGCTATAAATGTATTTCCTGACTCTCTGACTTTTGTTAAACTACATACTCATGACTGTATTCAGTAACTGTATTGAATAACCAATGTTATCTACTGACAGGATTTCAAGAATCACTCTTCCTGTGGTTTTTGCAGAACTCATTTATTCTCTTGCAAGCCATCTCTGTCATAGCTTCAGGTACTGTGAGGACAATGCGGAAGAAGTTGGGATACTGAAAGCACTAAACAGACACAGAATCAGAGCTTGTATTAGTGGATCAACTTATCACACAAAAGTGAAACTTTGGGCTGAGTGAGTATAACTTATTTTTGATTAAATATATTGTTAATATCAAACACAGAAAAGGAATTACAGTGGAACCTCCCTTAAAGCGAACATTTACAGTTCGCTCACCAGGAAGTGATCCTTTAAGAGGATCAAACTACAGGAGTCTTTAGAGAAGAGGTTCCCAGTGACAGATCCAGGGGAGGGGCCTGAGGGGGCCTCCCCCCCAACCCTTTATTTCTGCCACTGGTTCCGACATCTTTTTGGCAAAGAATATAAGCTAATACACAATATGACTTTTGTTTTGTTTCATGTTGTCACTTACAAAAGTTCTTTGCATACTCTTTAAGTAGCATAGCTTATATATAGCTACGTAGTTCATACTTGCGAGTTAGGTTTCATTACTAATTCAAGGCTTTGACTGGGAAAATTTTGGAGTTTTGGATAGGTGTCGCTGCCTACGAGAAGTGGTCGCACATGGAGTTTCGAATGTTTGTTTCTTGCTACATTCAGATACTCGTGTATTTTGGATGAACATCATTTTTTTAAATTTGTATTGTTTTAAGTCTTTGTTCTGTGACAAGTGATATTGTGATAAACTGTTAGCTTGTGCTGCTTTCTTGGAAGATTGACATCCTAGGGCTGTTTTAGACTGTCATAGGTAGCTCAATTGAGTAAGCACCAAATGTGATTGCACTAACTTGACTAGCCCTAAGCCTTTTTTATTCCACTGACGAAAAGGGATTTTTTTTTCTATATATTGACATTAATTTAATTTGGATTGTCGTTGACATGGACTGTTTATTTTTTTAAGTAATTTGCCTAACTGATCTATGATACAAGACACGATGTCTATTTTACACAATGCAGTGCTTATTAATGCAACCTAACATGAGTTCTAATTAGGCCCTTAAATCATACCTTACAAATTTTATAAGTAAATGTAAAAAAGACATCATTTACCTTTCCAGGAAGGCAAAATACGGACTGTTCTGATATTAGCTTTTCTGTAAAATCAAGGTCATCCAAAATGCCATCCAACTTGGGGATATCAATACCAACCTGAAACATGGAGTTTGATATTGAAAGCTAAAAATTTATTCCTCATAACTGTAGGTTTAAATAATGAGAAATCGCAATTACAAAGGAGGCATATATTTGTGTAAGTTGTATAAGCACTAGCTTCCATCTTAGAAGTATTCTACAGTGTTACACTTGGGATGAAATTCAAATGAAACACCCTAATCCTTCGCAATTATTTGTAACTCACCATCATGTACATTGCTCCACAAGGCATTATGGGCTTGAGTTCGGGAATTCTAAGGAGTGCCTCATAACAGATTTCAGCATTTTTCTGTAAGAAATTGTAACAAACATTTTTAAAACAAATCTAAAGTTTAGCAGTTTACTCGTTCTGGCTGCAGACGACAATCAAAATAATAGTATCTGCATATCAAACTATATTATATCAAATTAATAGTGACATAGCGATAAGTTACTGGATATTAGCCTTGGCCAAGCTGTGGTGTCTTATGTCTTCTGCTCCTCACATAAGGATTTGGATCTCAGTTAAGCGTTTTTTTAAGTTTCTTAAAATTTACATGTTCTGAGTTTGTGATAGTTAATGCTGCCTGATGGTGTTTACTCAGTGTACGAAACTTTGGTTATTCTTGTCAACTTAGTGCAAGAATCAATTGACCATTGTAAAAAGATTGAAAAAACTAATTGCACATGCTAGCCCTTGGGTTTCCTCTGATTAAGGCAGGCTTACACTTAAGGACCTTGTGGCTGGTAAAAAGTCGAGAAAATTCTCTAGTTTTGTGATTTATGGTATTTCATTAATGTTAAAATTAAGACCTGTGTATTTACAGCAGTTAAAAGAGATGCAATGTTCTAGACTAGGTATGTGAAAGGGGTAATATTTGTCAATGGAAGGTATACAAAAGGGGTACCTTTTATGTCAAAGATGGTACATAAAAGGTGAAGGGGCTCATTGGACCTCGGGGCCCCAGGGGGGTACTCTGGATTTCAAGTGACAGGGATGATCGAAGGATTTTTTTGGGTTTGAAATTTTTGATTTTGGGATTCTTTTTGGGTAGCCTGATTAAGTAGGGATTTATTTGGGTATTCAAAACTAATTTTTTCTATTTTTCATGTTATATCATTCAATGCTTTCTAAAAAGTTTTACGACTTGCAAATTAGGCATGGGATTTTTGGGGGTTTTGGTTGAAGCCTAATGGATTTTTTGGAGTTTTTAATTTTTTCCCCATTCAATCATCACCTGTCACTTGAAATCCGGAGTACACCCCTGGGCTCCGGGTAGAGCCTCCCCGACTGACACTGGGTTAAAGTGTGTACTTTAGTACTAACCTGAATGACTTGCATGGTGTTTTCAAAGAAGCTTGATGGTGTGTTTGCTAAAATCGCCGGCAGAGCACCTTGGACAAGAGTATTAGGACCCAATATTTGCTGTGATAGGGCTATTAACCCCGGCTTCACCTATTACAAACAGTTATAGAGATTTCAAAATTAGACACATCGCTATTCTCTCTCTCAGTACCTTTCAAAAAAAATAGACAGAAAGATTGAGAGGGATGTTACAGATCTGTGGAACGGTGTGTGCCATATTTGCTGAGTGTCGACAATTTTAAGTTTTTTAACCGTACCTCACTTTCAAATGCTTGATTTTTGTCGTAGATGAGAACCCAACCAAGTCTCCAGCCAGGAACAAGGTATCTAAAAGAGTAAGTGTCAACCAATTATTTCAAACTTGTAAAAAACAAATTTTCAAGTTCTTTACTTTTTGACTGTGGCAGGATATACTGTAAGCTCAGTCAGTAAAGTGTAGAGGGCTGGAGAGCAGCTGCAGGAGGTCACCGGTTCTGTTCCATGGGCCAGCAGGTTGGGGCACAAAACTCAGGGTTTGATAATAATAATATTGGGGAAGAATGTAGTGCCTTTGCACTAGAAAATGGTTAGAACTACTTCGCCTGGCTTAGACAAAATTATGACCACTCAATATAGTGGTCCCGTCTTCAAGTAGGAGATATAAAAACAGTATCCTCAGTACACTTAATTATCTATTAAATTAATGAAGTGCATTTTCTTTTTCCTTTTTATCTCCCAAGTCTGGATTTTCATGGTGGAAGATGTCAGTTTTGGTTACCTTTTGGAAATTCCTCCACAAGTTAGAATGGGAACATTCTCTGATAACTGTGCAAGAGGATAGAACTTGTGTCCAGGAAATACCTTAAAAAAAGACATATGATTTGGTTTTACACTGGTGCAAAATTTCAAAATTATTTTTACAACTGGCTAACATGGGTATGAGTAGCTTACATTTGAGTCTGAGGGGTTTATAAAAATACCTAATTACTGGATCTTCAAAATGGCCGTTTTCTTAGTAATATTATAATTGTGTGGTCTGAATTTGAAAGCTTTAACTGTTTGTATCTGCATGGATAAAATAACATAGTACCTACAGTACTTACAGCATACTCATAAACCTCATCACTAATAATAGGAAGCATGTATCGCTCAGCCACTAGGAAACAACAGACACACTGATATTAGGATCAAGACTCAGCAGTATAAATAGCATGAAGTCATCTGGGTTGAGTTTGGTTGAAGCCTGGTTAATTCATAACTGTCAACCAACTACTCTTTTAGTCACATAAGCTAATGGACAGCTAGGCCATAAGCCCTTTGCCGCTAAAGAGTCACATGGTACAAAAACACCTTGCTGGAGAGCAAATGACACAGTGGAACCTAATTACTTTATGTTAATCACTTTGTGTTTATTATCAAGAGAGCTGAATAATTTTCACTTCCAGCATAATTTACCATCACAGTGCATAATACAGTATCTCAATCAATACAGCAGCATTGATTTACTCCTGACCAGCATACTGCAAAGCAGGCATATTTTGCAGTGCAAACAACAATTTACTGTTAATGTTCTCCCTTGACAGAGAGTTGGGGCAAGGAAAAAATGAGGAGAGGGAGTTTCAGTTTTTCAATTGCTTTCAAGATATATGGTGGCTGTGATCCATGTACCTCTTAGTTTTCTTTAAGAAAATGCCTGCTGTTGCGCTGCAGGCTAGATTTACTCAAGATCAAGGGCACGGATGGGTTTTACTTGACCCACCTGCATACCTAGACATCATAATTTCAATTTCCTTGTGTTGGCCCAATTCAGCACTGCTGCTAAAACTCCAAAGGCATTTTCATGTAACTATTAATGTCAGTTAAATCTATTTATTTTGTTAACTATTAACACTATAACGCAGCAGCCATTTCATGTAAGCCACTTGTTTATTCTTATGCAGTTAATACATGCTTTTTATTTGTACCTTCTAGGATGGCCTCCAAGTGTTCCTTAGAGTACACTGAGCCACAAGGGTTAGAAGGATTGTTCACAACGATTGCTTTGGTTCGATCATCAATCAGGGATTCAAGGTGATCAAGGTCAACCTCCCAAGACCTGTCAGGCTAAAACACATGTGCTATTATTGTTAGTAAGTCTTCATCATATAATTTACTAAAACGTTCTTCTAACAAAACCTGTTGGGCTATTAATATCCATTTTCCTTTAACAGGTGTCTAATATGAGTAATTTTGCAGCAACCAAGGAATAGATAATGAATTATCCCATCACCCGTGGCTTCTCTATAGGTTTCTTTGAGCTTTCCATTACCATTTTGAAGATTTGTAAAATAGAATAGTGTCTATTCTCCTTAATATCTTATACGTATATTGTATTGTAAATTGTATTTTAATGGTTATTGCCAAAATGAATAAATGAAGCCAAAAGGGACTAAACTAACAATTTTTCATTAACTTTTTATCTTTTTTTGTTCATGATAATGGTACTCTTTTTACCATGGAATCGTAAATTATTATTCAGGACCCCTAGTGCTGAAAGGGCCGGTACCCTTCTTGAGTAAAGATGACTGGACTTGATGTGTCTGAGCGTACTCTCCAATGATTATAGAATTACATTCTATTAGAAGTGACGAGTAAATTTTTCCCACTGCAAATTATCCAGGGTTCTCATCAAGTTTTGAAGTAGAAAGGTGGCATGTAAAAGTAGGCGGCTTGGCAGTTAAGTGCTGTAGGCAATAAGAGGCTTCCACTCCCTCACTTTACCCATTTTCCCCCAAAAGTAAACAGTTCAGACCTCAAAGTAGCTGGTTTTTTTAGGTGGTTACCAACACTTAATGATTTTCTACAGTAAATTGGACTGTGCGGGTCTCCTGCCTTCATAACCATAATTTTGTCTACAGATGCTCAGACTAAGAGAGCCTGACAACATCATTAATTTTCTTACCATTAAGTTATAGTGTCTAACTTCATGTCCTCGTGATATGCTCAGGGTCTGGTAGATAGAGAAGCCTGGTTTGGGCAGGAGAACGTTGTCACCTGGATTGAGCAGAACATCAAGAGCAAGCTCCAAAGCTCCTGAACAACCACATGCTAAAACTACATCCTGGTAAAGAAAAAAAATCAGTTTAAACTAATGTCAAGATTTCATGTCGTTTGAGACTTTCAAAGCAGGAGGATATTGAGTTCCAAAGCAAAATGAACACTTAATGACTTGGCAGTGTGGAGTTTAGATGCTGTAGAACTGTGTTAATGCCAAATCAGCTAATTGTTAAACTAAAGAGCTAAAACAGCAGACATGAGACAGTTGTTTCAAAGTGAATTGTGCCTAAAATGGCTAAATTATTACAGCAATATGAAGGCTATATTTTCACATCATTATTTATAGCCTATCACAATGATGAGTGACTTGGGATATAAAACAACACTTTATTTTTAATATTTATTATTCCTTTCAATGCCATTTTCTAAAATGTATCAATTTAAAATCAAGTAGTGACTGTACCAGGTTTTGCAAAAAACAATCTTAAATTTCAGTTCTTTGAAAGGTGCCAATTTTAGCCCCCAATTTCATTCATGACATTCTTCTATTTGTCCCTCTTTTTACTATTTTGACAACCATTTTTAACATTTAAGTATATAACTATAGAAGTTTACGAGTAGTCCAACATCTTTTTATTCTTATGTGCGAAAACGTCACTCTAGGGAATTGCTTTGTCCTGAGTGCACTAATAATGGAGGGGGAGGGGGGGACATGGCAGACATATTGTCATGCCTTACTATAGCCATACTGTCCATAAGTGACTGGTTAGTCTAATTTTCTGTTCAGTTGCCAGGATCTTACTGATGGTAAGGTTCTGTTCATTATATTGTTGCAAGAGTTTTAGTGAGTGAGTCAAGTTGAGTCAGTCTCTAAGCATGTGTGGTAGGTGAGGGTAGGTAGGGTAGATGAGACAAGTTGGTAGGGAGACTGGGGTTAAAGAATCAATGTTCTAATGACAACATAATAAGTTATTGTTTTTAATAATATGTTACCTTGTAAGTGAGAGGGGAAAAAGGATAAGAATGTTCAACAGCAATGGCTTTGCGAGTTTCAACATAACCTGCAACAAAAATAATTTCTTAGTAATTTCTCTTTGCAGAGATATTAATCAGTGGCTTGAGAAGAGCAGAAATCAAAGCAGGAAATTGGGCCAATTTCAGTTTTCTTGTTGGTGGCCATTTACTGGTTTATCATTCTTGTCAAGCCAATATTTGACCCTGCCCATGATCATGTATCACGGAACATTATGTGTGTATTTTTTTATTCATGAAATGGGCCAAAAATTTCAGACAAATTTAAAAGCAACAGTTGCCCAACTGTGTTTGGACAGGTACCTGTAGATGGAGCGTATCCATTATGTTTAAACTCCTTTGCACACTTCACAACAGCTTCCACCATCTCATCACAAGGTGTAAGATTTCCAAACACTGATGGATCCCCTGAAATATTAAGGCAAGACAAGGCCTAAGTTGATAAAAGTTTTCTAACCTAGTAATGAATAATAAACTAATAATAAATTAGACTTTTTGAACCCCTCATAAATTCTTGTGTAGAAAGCCACCAGTGGTGAGCAATGAGGTTTGGAAAGGGAGTGGTTAGATTGTTTAATACACCTTAATGCACTTTAACAGAGTTACGACAAATAATGCCATGATCTACTACCTCTGTTTAAAGCAGTGTTAATATACATGCAGGTTCAAGATTCCTGGCATTTAGCACAAATAATGAGCCTTTCTGAACAAGTCAGCAGGTGTTAAAAGTCCACTCTCTCTTTTCCCTCCTGTTTCCTCCACTGTTCTGTCAGTCAACCCTCCCTGCTCCACTGGGGTTCATAGTTTCCCAGCCATAAGATTAATCTCAGTCTACATAAGTTTGTAGAATACTTGTGGTATGCCTTTTCTCCTAGGTCACCTTTTGAGTCGACTTTTGAGTCACTTATCCCAGCGAGCTGAAAGACTGTTCACTAAACTTATCAGTGAGTCAGTTTGGATATTCCCAATTTTTCCCATGAAATTTTCAGCAACAAGGATTATTCCCAGAAAGAATTAAGTAAGAATCTGACTGCAAGCAGTCTAGTGAGTTAGCTACCAAATTGATAGGGTTGGCTCTGATCATAGCTAGGCAGATTTAGGTAAGACAACATTACAGCAGTGACAACGGCATGTGCAAATCAAAACACCCGGCTTGACCAATGGCAGAGCCAAAAGTTGGGCACCATAAGTTGCATTCAATCCTTTCTGTGCACTATCCTTTCATCAACTGATGTCCCTGTTCTGTTCCCAAATTGCTAAGTAATTGCATGCAATGTTTAACCCTTTAAGCCCCAATATCCACATACAAATTCTCCAAACTGGTATCTATACATTTCCATAAAGAATAAGTTGAGAGAATTTGATAAAAGATCAAAGCATTAATTTTTCTCTTAGGTGATCATTTTATTAATTCTCATAACCTAATCTCTTGACATTGTATGGATATTGTAGGAGAAAATTGGATGTTGGTCACTATTGGGATTTTATGAAGGGTCAATCTCATATCCAAACTTGGTGGGCGTGGCACTTTGTTTTCTTTTGACAAACACATTTTTCACCTCATATTATTAATTCCATCACCTCTCCCTAATAGTGTTAAAGTAACTTACCAATATACATTATTTGCATGTAATGTTTAAATGTGATATCCAAACTTGGTGGGTGTGGCATCTTTTCTTTACTCCAACACATTTCTTGCTTTACATTTTTACCTCCATCACCCTTGTCTTAATATTCAAATAACTTACCAATAGATAGAGCAATCATCTGCTTCTCAGGGTTGGGTGTAATCTTCATTCTATCTACAATAGATCTAATGGGATTGAATGTTGTTGTGGCTGTTACAGAGGCTGGAATGTGCCATCTTCTTCTTTTTGCAGTTGACATTCTTCCTGAAAAAGACAGAGAGAGAGAGAGAGTTTTCACTTCATACTTGTGTCCCAGTGCCAATGTACTTTTGTACTGCCCTTTGTCCGAAAATATCCAGACTTTTCACACAGAAGGGTTTTTTGGTAAAGCTAGGTTACATATTGACATACCTTTTCTTGAAATAATGGTGGTTTTTAGTTTAAAGTAAAGGGCTAAGTTCGATCTTACATTGGAGAAAAAGGCATTTGAAAAACATTGAATACTAGTATTGACTCAGAAGTGATGGTTGTATATTTTGACCACAAATAAATATTGTTTTTTCTTTTGATTGACCGCGTGCGTATGCATTTTACTTAATAGTGAGTATTGTTTAGCTCAAAATTTTTACATTTTGCTCTTTTAGCTAAACTCTGAAACCTTATTTGGGCAAACTCGTACGCAGTTGAGTTAAAATCTAAAGAATGATGTCACAATGACTTTGCCAATATTAATTAAGCCACGCTATAGCTGCTGTATGCATGGATTAAAGGCGAGGCAGTTCATATTGTTTACATTTATTTGCTGGTTAAGCTGTCTGACCTGGATTATACCTATTTCTTATTAAACATCAAAATACATTGACATGACAATTATTGAAACTGCTAATTAAAAGTTCTAGTTTCAAAATCATCTGGGCTTACAATATTATTAAGTCAGATTAGAGATAAAAACGCTAATAACAATGGATTGTTTAAGACCTGCCTGTTATTCTGCATGGGTATACAACTTTGCAGTAGAGTTTGTATCGTTTGTGTAAACCAGACCTAATTGTCACCAAATGTCAACTAAAATATAAGATTCATTTGTGGCAAACTCGTATTACCGTCTCATCTTGCCCATCGGATGTTTTTGTTTTTAAGCTCAAAAACAAAAAGAATTCCCAGGAGCCGGAGCAAATTCGACGGCTTTGCGCAATAAGGTAAATGAATGACTCTTTTCAACAAACACATTCCAAAAAAAAGAATGAAATTTATAGATTTCAACATAAGGTACTGTAAAAACAAATGGCAATACTCAACTTACAGTAAATTGTTTTTGTTTGCAATACGTCGTTGCTGTACCAGCCTCAAAAAAGTTATGCCCTCACTAATAGTCAAGCGCTATTCCGAATTCCAAAAGCCCTCGATCTCTTTCAAAGGTTCAAAATCAGCTAAAATCAGGGGACGTGCACAACCTTTTTTGTGAAAATGTGTTTTATTGCATGAAAATAATAATCTGTTTCCAAATGAGAGATTTAGCATCGTTTTGAACAAAAAAACACGCTTGAGGCAACTCGAAAAGGGAGTAAACATGCAATGATTACGTAAGTATGTAAACAATATAATAGCTTATTGCGTTGCACGACCAGTCCTTAGTTGTTTAGCCTGTGAACAGGCTCTCTGTTTGGGGAAAAATAGCGAGGAAAGGGAAGGAAATTGATCAAATCGCGTGCTACGTGCCGACCGAAAAGCCGATGTCAATCAGACCTGTCAACAGTCAGTGTTCTCGCCAATAGGAGCTTGCATCAGGATCTGATGCACAGCGGGTGCCGTGGAACGGCGGCCCCAAAGGTCTGTCTACAGGCCTTTTCGCTTTTCCCTCTCCCCACCCCGCTCGACTAAAGGCCTGTTCACAGGCTATTAGTTGTTTTGTGACCTTTTGTATGAGAAGAAAAGGAAACTTTCAATTTTAGTATATTTTTTTGTTTTTGAACAGTTAAGCTTATTTCAAGGCCAAAAACAGACTGCAAGGAGGACAAGCGAAGAAGATTGACTCGTGGAACGTAGTAATATGCGCATAACTTATAGCTGAATGTTGAAAAGCCTTGGTGTCAGGGTCAAAGACCTTTGGGAGATGAAGGGCATCTTTGTAGGTCAAAATATATCGACCTCTAAACATGGTCCCTTTTTTCAGATTTTCTGTAGTGCACGTTTGTTAATAAGACAAACCACTGCAATGTTAAGATTAAGTATTGTACTGGAAGAATTGGGTCAATTGGCGACCTACTGCACGACGAGGTGACTTAGTGGCGTTAACGAATTTTTTACTTCGTATGCGATACATAAAGCAAGACACTGAATAAGTGAAAGAATGTTACTTCTGCGTGAAAAATTGCGTTCGCTTCAAGGCCCGTAAAATTTTGCACTCGGTACTGTTCTGGTTCCTCTTGCCGTGGCGTAACTAAGTAAGCTAAATCAGACCCCTTATGAGTTTCTTGTTTCTTGCGAAATATATTTGCCTCTGTTTTATCATCGCGACGACTTTACATAAATTACATGTGATAAGAAGATGTCCGTTTGTCCGGAATGAACTGAAAAATGAGAAATATTTCTCCTAATAAACCTGTAATAAAGTAAGTTACAAGGAACAATTTACCCGAATGATACTAGGATATTTATTAAGTTCAAAATGTAACTAGTACGAGCTTGCTTTGATGAGTCAAGTGTGCGGACATGACCCGAATACCCAACAACTCAACGCCGGACACCAAAAACAACAAATTTCACAAACTAGTACAATATTGCCTTAACTTTTCATCTCTGTCTCAGAGTAAGTTCTAAGTAAGCGTTATGGAACTGTAAGCTAATCAGCATAAGTGAGAGGGGTTGACAACTGGAAACCATGAATATTTTCAATCCAAACCAATTTTCGAAACCAAAGACAGCATTCTGTCAAGTTAAACACGTTTAATACTTGGCATACCTATTGTCGCTGTGGAAAAATGTGAAAAGAAGCGGCTCTTAAGTTCCCGTTGCTTAAAATTATCGATAATCCAAGCAAATTCAATTCAATGTGCAAACTTCGTGAGTCAATGAAATTGAACAACATCCGGAGTCAGTTGAATAAAACAACGTCCCTACTCAATGAAATAGCCACGGAGGTTTAAAGCTCTTTACATCTTACATTTTATCATGATTAATGCAGCAGTACTTACCTTTGAAATGGTATTTTGAGTTTCTCTAACGCCAAAATTTCACCGAAAACGACAGCACGATAGAAATCAACAGCCAAAGAAACTTCGCCAACGTTCTGTCCATTCATGCATAACAAATAGCTTTCTTGTGTAATCGCTATGTGATTGGCTAGCAGCTGTCACACCCACGACACTCCTCCAACCCCACCTCCTTACGGATTTCCTTACGCGTAACACGTGGCTGGGACCTCAGCATGAGACAGAGGATGTAGAACGAAAGTTCCTTTTCCGCATTCTCAACACAGCCCGGTGAGCAAAAAATACGCTTCCTTTTGCGTGAGATTTTCACCTTAATCATGGCATTGGTAAGTATATAAAGCAACGAGAATGTTGACGCCCCGTACTTCAGAAACAACAATCAGAAGTTGATCTTTTCTCTCTTTCAGTGGTCTGGTTCCATGTTTTGCTATAACGTCAAACAACAGGAGTAAAACGAGTTTCAAACTTGATGTGTCAGTTAGAAGTCCATCTTATCAGCGAAAAACTGACTTCCGGGTCACGTATTCTCCTCGTGGCTGAAGCGCGTTTTCATTTTACTCAGTCTCCTATTAGAGAACATACCAGTGGTCTTATCCTCAAAGTAGAATGGGAAACTAGGCCCCAAATCGCTTTGCAAATTTTCATAGCGGTACGTGCGTGTGAAAAACGGGTGACCTTTGCCTCACGATCTTTTCTTTCATTCATATGAATAAAATTGACTTGCAAAATTATCCATACTGTATTTTGTGATTTTCCGGATTTTGCATGTCACTAAGAAATGAGGAGTCGTCTAACTTTTGGAAGTTTAAAAAAGTTGAACCATTTGGGAAAATATATAGGCTCGATTATTTCTCAATTAATTAAGCTCAGTGCGTTTTTGTTTATTCTAAAGTAGGTGGTGGCCTACTCGAAAGCAGTTGCTACTTTGTCTACCAAACACATTCAACAAAGTATTACCTCTGTTTTACCTTATTTAATTAACCATCGAAGAGAATCTGTTCTGGTTTTAATTTATATCTGTGAACTAACAATATAAATAGTGTGAAGTAAAATGAACTTCAACAGTCCGCGAACTTATTATAATATTATAATATAATGCACTCGGCGGAACCTGTGATTTATATCCGATTCAGTAATACACTTTCTTTTTTATAAGAATATTGTTTTTCAGGCCCAGGCAGAATATTCCTGCCGATTTTAGGCTGAAAATATTCTTGTAATATTCTTAATTTACAGCTTATGACATTTCTCTTGTTGGCTAGTTTTGCTGTTGAGAGAATGGAATAATTTTATACAGTTGAGTAAACACATATCATTGTATTGTATGTACAAATTTTCAACGCAGGAAATTATATTCTTTTCACAATTTCAGCCTCAGGTTTATTCTTAAAATATTCTTAAAATTTCGCAATTTCAGCCTCGATATTCAGCCTCGAATTTTGTCACGTAGGACCGAAAGTAATAAAACCCCCGGGAGTGAAAACAGGTATAGACTTTGCCCATTTTGGTCAGGAATCGGGTATATTGGTTTCGAGGGAACTACGGGAGTGTATGAACTTATTTGTCGTTTCAATAGCCCATTTCACAATTACAGGTGCAAACCGAGGCTGGAGTTGACCTTGTTTCGATACAACCCGTCCCACTTTGTTATTCAAATAATGTGGTTGTTATGCTAACTATTATTTTTTCAGCACAATTTCCATTAGAAAAAGAAGGAGGCTTTGTATCAAAACAAGGTCAACCTCACCCTCACGTTCACCCAAAGGCTGGGATACTTACTGCAGCCCACAACTGTAAAATGGTCTATTCCAAATGAAAACGGAAAGAAAGAATAATAAGCGAATTCGAAATGAATTTTGTTCGCGTTCTGATCTAAGAAATAACGACATAATTTCTTAGAGGCCAGGTGCCGGTTGCTCGAACAGGGGCACCCAACGGCAATTTTCGGGAAAATATCTGTTCGGAAGACGATTTGAAATCTAGAATTTTCGGAGCATTTGTTGTAAAATTTCTTGCTTGCCTGCCTCTCCCAGGATTTTCGAACATC